CAAAGCCTGTAGGCTAGTTTGTACTCGCAAATTTGAGTCATGAATTTTGCTTCATTTCCACATTTATTAATATCTTAACAGAATTAAAGTTAATGCAATTTCTGGGTCCTTACAGACTACCCTAAATAAAAATTACAACACTTATTTTAAACCTCTTTTCAAACATGGAAGGGAGGTGTTAATCTCTACCATACAAGGGGAGATTGATTCTTTGGAAAGAACCCTAAGCAAAGCTCTTCGGATTATCACAGGAGTGGTGTAAACTACCCAATTACAGCTATGCAAAGCTATTCTTCCAACCCACCAATTGCTACTGAAATCAAGAAACATGCAGTTGGTACATTCGTTAAAACGAAAGCATCGCATAGAGCACAATGGATGAACGAATGCAAACCAAGTACCATGAAAATCCAACTCTCTCTCCTAAAGGCTAGTGAGAAATTATTACAAGAAACAGATGAAAACAAACGAATGAATTGTGACAAAGTCATGGTTAATCCTGTTGAATATATTGATATCAAATAGCAGCCAGATATTAATGACATTGGAAAAGAAAAACATTCCTGATGCAATATTAAAATTAAACATATTATGCATGTTATATGAATAATACCTAGAACCTGAATGTACTAAAGTAAAATTCAAGACAACACTGCAGCTTGTGTATACAGTAAACATTTCTCCCAACAATGTAATCCTGTGGCCCATGTCGAATTTTGATGCAGAGATCCTTGAAATCTCACTAGCTCTGGAAAACGTCAAGATAGAGGTTTCTCTTGTAAGGTTCCAACCCAGAATTTACAGCTAAATGTGTGGAACCTTGAGAACTGGTAGGCTAATAATCACTTAGTTCAGAAAGATAGAAATGTAAAAGTACGAAGGGTTAATTACCCTTCTTACGTTTACGTTTAAAATAAATACGTTACGTTACGCTCAATAAATACGTTACGTTCACGTTACGCTCAAAATAAAGTTAATAGATGGTCCTCTCTCAGGACGTACAGAAAATCTTCTACTTGCGCTTGAACTTAAGAATGACTTATAGAACTTAACTAAACGAAAGAGATATAGCCGAAGCTATCAAAATTCTACAGGAGTTGACCCCTTAATGTTAGCTAAACGGCGAAACTATCAAGGGCCTAAAGTACGGCCGAGCGTAGAAAGAACTAAGGGAGACTATAGCCTACAAGGCGAACGCGCTCTGGTCAGAATCTCTGGCTCTCTAAGTCAATAGAAGTTCAACTGTAAATACTGTCTCCTCCTTCATTTGCATTTAACTGCGATTCTGAAAACACGTTCTGGCAGGAAATGTATAAGCTGAAATTAGAAGTGACAGGAAAGTGGCTTTAACTAAAAATTAACTGTTAAAAACTTACGAAACCCTTACACTCTAAAGCAGTTATTCGATTCCAAAGCAACCATCCAGGCTGTAGTTATAAATAATGACACAGTTACCCAGATTATCTCAGAAATAAGACAAACCTTGAACTTTCTTTATAAATACAGCAAAATAATCGTTGAATGGATCCTTTCACATGTAGGCATCGACCATAACGAAAAGGCAGACTCACTAGCCAAGAGAAGAACACATGAGCCACAAGACATCAAACCACTTCCTTCAGAGTCACTTAAAAAGCATATTTTGGGGAAATTAATGGATACTCTTAAATCTGAGCATACAGCAAAATCAACAGGTAAATCCGGGACTAACATTCAAGACACATGGAAAACATTTTGTCAAAAACCACGTAAAGAGGCTGTGGCAAAATTCAGACTGCAAACAGGCCACAATTGCACGGCCCATCATCTTAATAAAATTGCCATCCCTCCATCTAGTATATGCCAAATTTGAAATTCGGGCATCATGAGTGTAGAGCATTTTCTTATGTGCCCATACCTAGATAAAGAGCCTCAGAAACGTGATGAGATAAGTAAACTATACTGGAATGCCACAGCGTTCATAAACTCCTTGTAAACCATATCTCTTATGTTCCTTTCCTTTGTTGTTTAAATTTTTAGCTTTCTACTTTTGTTCCCATGTTCATTTATCTTGTTCCTTGCTTTAAATATTTGTTCCCTTTTTATTATATATCATTGTTCTTGTGTGATACATGAGCTGTTATATATGTTTGGATTGATCTTCACAATAAAGCCATAATTAGCCCAGAAATTAACAACATTAATTTCTGGGTCTCTTCCGTTCTACAAAATGTCGGCACCAACGGTAAAACTCGAGTCGGTAAGATAATATCGGGACTAGTTAATATATTTAAAATCTTCTATCACGGAATATTTAACAGGATAAATATTTAACTGCAGCTTAGAAGCGAGCCAAAGGAAACGACTGACATTCGTAACGTTATTTTGTATTCTTACGAAGTATAAAATATCTTAGAATTTTTATCTTCACGGAAATTTAAATTTCGTTATATGACATTCTATCCAATAACTTTCATCGCAGGACACTGCAAATGAGCCTCTCACATAAATTTACGCTGTGCTAGATGACTCGTTATAGTCATTAACTTAATAAGAATAAAAAACACTAAACATTCGGTAATGATGCTTTCAAAATTTATTTCGTTGTAACATGAAGCCTGATTAAGCTGTTACGAGGCGTAGAACGGATAAAAAATTCGGGGAAATAGATGTCGGCTTAATATAGTGAAAATGAGAGTTAACCGAAGTGAAGCGAAGTGGTGTCGTTAAACTATGATTTAGCCTCCACCTTTTAACGTCGGCGTTAATGACTCCAGGCGCAGGAAGAAAAGAAATTTTGGTTCATTTTCGCCTGACTCTGAGTTGAATTGCATCATGTTCGTAGACACTTAATTACTGTATCTATGTAGTTTGAGTATGGTGTTGAGTAGAGTTGAGTTGTCCGTCATTTGCATGACAAAAATGAACTACTACTATTTCGCCATTAAGAAGATATTCAAATAAGAAGCGACTTTTTTTTTTTTTTGTTTGTCGCTCTTTCTTTGAGAAGACGTGAAGAATTAGAAATTCAAGAAACGAAAGAAATTAAATGAGCTCGTTTGCATTGCAAAGAAGAGACTTAAGAAATTGGTATTAGAAAAGGCGTGTTAGACGATTATTTTAAAATTTAAGACATCGAATAATTTTATGACTCGAACATCGGCCCTCCCGAACGCGCTGTGAAAATGCTTCCAATTAATTACGCGGAGCCGAACGGACGGTATACTGGATAGGGAAGTCTACTACTGGTACCGAATGGTACCGAAGGGCCAGTTTCCTCAAATCCCGGAGAAGGCATGTATGTTTATAAACTTATATTGTCTTTGAGGGCATAGGGGCACAGTATATGGCGAGCCGAATGTCTTCTCGAGAGGTTAGTGGTAGGGGAAGAGGAATAGGAGGCCCGAGAACCGTCCCCCCGGGGTGTTGTCCATCAAAATTGGGAGCGGACTGAGCGAAGTCGTACTGTCATATGTATGTTGCCAACGACAGGCCCAAGCTTGCTCTCCTTGACACGATGACACTCTTTGACACGTTCTAGCAGTTCTCTGATGATTCTGGGCTTGCTCTGATGTTACTATCAGACAAGCGGGACAAGTCACAGCAGCAAACAACAACGGGCAAGCGGAAAGGAGGGAGAAAATATATTATAATTTCATGTTTTTCCTTCAATAGGATTTTTGAGTAATTAAATAATTTTGCTATATAAAAAAGTATTAAAATGTACTTTTTTAAAAAATATTATAATAATTGTCACAAAAACGATCTAAATACTGGTGTATATTGTACTTTCATACTGAGTTTTATAAACACGCAAAATTCTTTTTTAATATTTTAAAGAGAATGTGTTTGTAATTGATGTGTTTATTTAAATATGGAATCAAAGACAAATGTTTTGGTTCTGATTGATATGTTTTAATTGCCTATATGTTATATGCATTTTTCTTCAATAAATGCTTAAAACCCTCTAAGCCGCAAGGCCGTATATATACGGCCTAGAATATTTTTTGTGATATCTGTAAGAACGTATATATACGTGCATATTAAAATATTTCAAAGAAATTAAGGCAATATATCAAAAGAAGACAAATCCAGCTATGAAATACCAGGAGAGTTTTTGCATTAAAATCAAAAAAATAATTTGTTCTCATAGTAGTTTTGGGAAATTTGTGCTTTCTTAGCGAAAGCCCTGGCCGCTCAGAGGGTTAAATTAAATACATGTTATATGCGAAAATATTTCTTTTTGATTTTTACTGCTATACTAATAATATAAGAATAATTTTAAAGGTACTTTTAAAAACATGGTTCCATAAGGGTTCTCTAACATTCTTTTTTAATATCGTGCATCTGGGCTGTAATCATTTGTCTTAGAAATGTTATTTAGATTGGGATGAAGTTGAAGCACTGAATAAATAGATGTTTCTCTGGAATTCATATTATAACTTTAAAATGTGCTGCTGTTTAACTAAATCTTATATCACGCGAGATATTTCTGTCTTGTTAGATGCTGACTTTAAATAGAAATTTCACAAACACTGTTCAGATTGCAAACAACGTGCGGGAAATCCATTAAAAATCAACCTAAACACGGGAACTGATTTCCTAGTTTACATTTTTTATAGAACTACACAAATCTTGGTTCTAAAATGCATCTATTTCATTCAAATTTGCTTTTTAGGAATTTAAATACATTTTTAATACTAAATACAGTAATAACATGTCATTTTGAAATTATATATCCATTTTTCATTTAATATTGTGACAGAAAAACATATGCTTTGAAAACGTAAATGCCTGTAAATACTGCAATATATTTGCAAGAATCTGTAGAAATATTCTTCAGATGAGCTCTGATTCTTTCGTATTATATTTTGTTATTGCAAAGTCATTCTATAATTTAATAATAAAGTGAATATTATTTTATGAATAAAATATCATTTATAACAAATGTTCAAAATCTCTTTCGATACTTAACGAGTTAAATAATTACTAAGCATAAAGATACAATCAATATTTCTTACCTTATTTCATCCGTATTCTGAATGACAAGAGATATTACAGACATATTTTCCTTGTGTTTCCCAGTTTTATTCACGCATTTTTCCCCAGAATAACAAGCGATCTGGAAACAAAAACATACTTTGAGTACATTAAGAAAGAATGCATTATGACATAGAAAATAGCATATGACAATATTTATGAGACGATACTTTCGAAATTCTTTTGCTAATTAAATTCATGACGCACTTTCTTGGAAAAGAAGTAAATTACGTTTAGTATTTTCGTTTGCGATGTTTTTTCGGTCTTTGGGTTCGTAGTAAATTTTTTTGATTTTTTTCCGCTAGATAATGTTTCGAATTTGTATGATATTTATACCTTAAAGCTTCACCTGATCGTATCGTTACGGAAAATGTTTTCGAGTTTCCATTATGTTTTATGTAATTACATCAAAGTATCGTTATTATAACATAACATATGCTGCCACCTCTGTTGTCTAGAAGAGTGTTTCTCCACCATTTTTACGTCACGGCATTTTACTCACACAATTTCACGGCCTATCTCACAAACACAAATAATATCACTACACATTATGCAAAATGTTTTTTCATACACGTAAACTGATTTTATTGATGTTTTTCCCAGAGAGCAGACTGTATGGAATTACAAATATGTGATAAATATCACCACCGACAACACAAGATATTATTAACACACGTAATTTCTAGTTTTTCGTAGATGCTGCTATATTATGTATATATTTTCTTTGGGGTACGATTCGCACAATCTTATGTAATTTTTAGCCAAAGGGCCAATTAGCCCAGAAGGGCTAATAATTTCGTTTTGGCATTTTGCATCGTTTCACTGTAAATGTCGGATCATTTTTCAAATTGTAGTCAGAAAATATTAGACTCCAGCTTTATATTTAAAGAGATTCAATAATAAAGAATCTGCATGAATGGATGTATGTTTCTGTCACTGTAAAACGATAAAGGTAGCCAGAGACATCAAACTTTGAATACGTAATCCTGCACTCGAATATGGGCATCTGGTAGCCCAAATTTGAAATATGTTTTATTATCTATTTCATATTTTGTAATAATTTAACGAAATTTTGATTAACAAAGTCGACGATTTCAAAGCGAGCAATGGCAATACTGTACGAAAAAACAAAAACATTTTTATCTCCAGCGCGTGATACTGTGTATCAGAAATTCTAAAGATACAGTGGATGGACAAAAATATGGAAACACCTTGTGAAATGCATGTTTGAAAAGAAAGATTGATTTTAATGAAATATGTAGGTGGCGCTGGCGTTTTTGACTACTGACGCCACCTATACAACTTCGTAAATGTGCTAAACAGTTCAGTTGTTGTCGGAGTACTGTTATGTGAGGTTGTCATTGCATTATGTCAGAGTTAACAGACTTCGAACGTGGGCAAATTGTTGGAGCACGTATGGTAGGTGCTTCCGTAAGCAAGGTAGCCGAGGTGTTTAGTGTTTCAAGAGGTACTGTATCAAAGATTTATTCCGCATATTTGAAAAGCGGAAAAACATCATCTGCTACATGCCTTCGTGGTGTAATGGTCAGCACACTCGGCGCGTATCTTGGTAACATCTTGATTTACAAATTTGTATATTTTGCTAAATATTATAAAATATCGATAAAAGCTGCGATATCTTATATTAAGAGTGGAGGAATATAGATAAATTAACTCACCCCAGTAAAACCCATAATTAATTTTAAAGTTGAATTACCGATGTTGAAAGCAACTGTAGAGAATTAAGATTATATATGACTCATCAAAATTACCTGTATCACCATCAGAAGTTTACCTGGGCTTAGTGGAGGAATAAACGGGACATGCTGCCCACAGCCAGTATTCAAACTCTCAATGTGCATTCATATTCTTAATTATCTGATTTCTATGCGAATAATCCGGTCTGAATACCATAAATATAGACAACATTTATTGAACAAAAAATTAAAGAATAAATTGCTTAATTTTAATAACAACTAATAAATAAAATCACTAAATGTGCTCGTGAGTTAGTTTTGTTTTGTCAAACATGAAAAAGAGCAGAGGTACTCAACGTAATGTTCAAATTAAAATTTATTCATAAATTCTATAAAATTTTTAATTATCGTAACTACGTTTGCAACATATATTTCTTATACGTTAATAGAAAAGAGAAATTAGTGTATATCGTACGTATTATGCCAGTTCTATAAATCGCAGTTTTAGCCCGGAAGGGCTAGAAAACTCAAAATGGCATTTTGTTTTTAAATGATTTCATGTATTGATGAGGTAATGATTGATGTATTGTATGCTTCATGTATTGATGAGGGTTGATTTGGTCGCTGCTGAATCAGCTTTCAGATTGTTGTCACCAAATATTATCTTCCTGTATTATATTTAAAAAAAAATTAAATAATGAAGAATCTGCATGAATATAGGTATGTTTCTCGTACTGTGAAAAAAAAAACAAAGGTACTTAGAGTAATCAAATTTTGAATAACATAGTCCTCTGCCCGAACATGGGCACCTGAAAGCCCGAATTTGGAATTTTTTTATTGCCAATTTAATATTTTATAAAATTTTAACGAAATTTTAATTAAAAAACTCAACAGTTTCAAAGCGAGCCGTGGCAGCACTGGAGGGAATAAGACATTTCTATCTCCAGCGCGCAAGACTGTCTATCAGAAATTCTAAAGATATGCTGTTTTTAAATATTTTTAACACAATGTGGCGTTAGCCAAAATGCGCCCGAAACGGATATATATGTGTGAATAAAAAAACGCCCATTTCGGCATAATATAAAATCTAAAAGCTTTTAAACCACCCGCTTTTTTGTTGTTGTTTGTTTATTTTTGTTCATTTGGTGGGAACAAAAAAGGATGCATTATTGTCTATGAAGTATAAGGAAGAATTATTTAAATATATAATTCGATTTCTTTTCGTCACTTTAACCTCAATTTTTTTTTTTTAAACAGCGGTTTTAAACGCTTAAACCTCATTTTTTTAAACAACGCAATTTTAGAAATTGAGTGCAAACTAACTGTTGACACTGACCGAAACAGAACGTACCAACATAAGCTTCTATTAAAATATTGCATTTATATCAAGAAATAATTTACAAAGAATAGGAAAATGAGTCCTTGAATTAAAAAAAAAGGCTGGCAAATTTGACTCATACGAAAATAATATAATATGCAGAAAATCATTTTTTTTCGAAATATATCTATAGAGAAACTTAGAAATTATTCTATTTCGGTTTCAAGATAGTCTGTCCGTATGTCTGCTGCCCAGACGCTTTATATCAACTACGCTTATCTTCCGTCTAGTCAAATATTGACTTTCATTGCTAGGTGGAGCACTTTGAAGCTGTGAAATATATATATATATATAATCTTACTTCAGAATATGACAATCTATCACTCTGAGATGTCGCCGCCTTTTATTACCTGCAGCTTCTCTAATAATCGCAGCTGTCGTTGTTCGACCAATGCCAATTAATATGTTATTAGGGCGTTGGTCCTTCTTAAGGGTGGAGCACGTGTTGTTCCCCATACCCTACGATTGGACATAACTTTGATACCACAGCCAGAACGATTGAAGCCTATCGCATCCCCAGTTAAATATTAGGATTCTTCGGAAATCAAGTTCAATATTTGCATTCCAGAAATAAGAAAGTTTACTACCCACAGGGAGTGATTTTAATTAAGCCGGCAGTGTGAAGTGCCTTAATGATTTCTTGAGAGACTCGTTAAGTCCTACCAATTATCCTTGAGCTAAGAGTCATTAGTCAGCGCTCTAGCGAATCGAAAAGATTCAATATTTTGAATAAATTACTTTAGGCTCGCAAATCATGAATTGGTGAGGGCTGATTACACAGTCATAGATTTCCATCAATTGGCCTTTTTATTAACGTTAGAAAAGTTGGTTTTGATTTCTACAGAGATTTTTAATAAGAACTAATAAGATCTGCGAATAGAAAGGATTTATCCTTAGAGTTAGTGATTAAATACACAGGACCACCATGTAAACAAATTACACGAAAATATTAAAGATTAAAATTTGGTTTGGTTTAGTTTATTTGACAAAGAACATAAGGGTTGTCTTCCTAAGAGTAGACACTTTTAAGTACGTCGAACCCGTCATGCCTGTTGAACACACTTTTAAGCCACCCAATCGGTATACTGGTTGACGTGCCAAAGGGTCCGGGTTCGAATCATGAAGAAGGCATGGGTGTTTGTAAGTGTATAGTGTTCGTGCGGCATGGCTGCACTCTAAATATGCGGCAAGCGGAAAGTCTCTAGAGAGGCTGATGGTAGGGGAAGAGGGCTGAGAGACCCTCGGACCCGTCCCCCGGGGTGCTCTCCAATAAAATTGGGGCGGAACCGAGCCAAATCGCATTGTCACCTGTAAAGTGATCAAGGCTGTTGCCAAAGACAGGCGTATCTTGCCCTCCTTGGCTCGAGGAATTTTGTGGGTTTAGGCTGACTATAGTAAATCAGACAAGTGAGCATCAATAAATAACAACAATATTATTTATTATGTTTATATCAGCAGATTTTGCTCAGTCATCAGTTTTTTCGCTTTTTAGGAAAGATATGTATGGAAAGGTTTTCTATGAGCAGAAAAAAGTAATTTTGCGTTCTGTGGAGAAATTATAATATCCAGCATTTATAAGCCATATGCCCCTTGGGTTCTGTTAATCATATAAAACTGCATTTTATAATTACCACAGCTTCTAAAAAGGCTTCAAAACTACTTCAGCTTAAAAAAAGTATAAGTACTCTACTTTTAAAAACTGAATGGAGAGAAAATGTATTACATTTAAATGTTTTCTTGAATTCTTCCAACTGATTTAGTTCAGTTAAATGATACTAAAAACTGAATACGCGAATAGCTTTCCAAAGCACCCCTCAAATGGAAAAACCAAAAAACATTTTTCTGGACACTCGGATTTTTGTGCTTTGATTGCAGTTAAAAGTTTTCCTCTTGTGTAACATAAATCCCGGCTAATCTCGGTTGTAAAATCAAAAAGTGCATGAATAATGACACTTCTCCTGAGGCAGAAAGTTTTTTACTTTCCTTTTTACAGTACTTCGCATAACC